AATGATCTAAAAACCAATAAAATACTTGATTTTTCAGTTCAATTATTCTGTGAAAATTCAGAAAAATCAGAGAAATTCAGGGAAAAATTGAAAATTCATGTCATTTTGTTTCTAAATCTTCATGTTCCATTGAAAATTCAATAACGTTGTGAAATTTCGATCTTACTCCCATTTAAAACTGATAAATTTATTTGAATTTTATTTAAAACCAGAAATTTCATAACCGGTTTTCCCCCTAAATCCGATTCAATATCACTCTTATGAGAATTACTATCATATTTTCTATGAAATTTCAAATAATTTTCAACAGCGTACATTCGTATTTTTAGCAACCGTCTCATTCTGCCCCGCCGTCTCACTTTGGTCCTCCCCCTGCAACTACCCTACACTGAGAGAAAAACGATAAAGTTCTCAAACAAGTCTTACGTGTGCCAAGAAAATAGTTTTTTGAAAATAGTCAAAAAATGATTTTTTTTGTGCCAAACATACAGAGAGTGAGCCGGAATAAAAAATTTTTGTCGCAAAAATAGATTTAGTAGTTCAAAAAAAATTGCATTCTCTATACACGCAAGAAATGTCATTTCTAGCACTACTCTTTCGTTATTCGATACTCCCATACGTATTTTGCTCCCGAAAAATCTCTGTTTTATGCGGAACAAGGGATAGCAGTTTTTCGCTTCGGATGTCTAATAATCACAGACAAGAAATGAACCCTTAAATGAAACAATAATAATGATATGATAACAATCTTGTAACTTAGGGATAAAATATATGTTGATAAATTTTCCTCTATATATTTTCATCCTGAAAAGGCACCATCTGGTGTGAACTATCCGCCTCTTGAGCCAAATATTTCGTTGTTGTCGAAAGCAGAACAATTATTCATGTTTGAGACTTTTCAATTCGAACCAAACAAATTCTTTTTTGGCAATTTTCTACTAGCGATTTTGTTGGCCCAAACAAGACTTGTTTGACAACGTGTTTGTTTTGCTCTCATTGTTGTAGAAATTGTGGGGGGCTCTGCGACATTGGCTGTTGCACTGACATTCACGCACTGCCGTACTCCGCGGCTATAGGTCGTTGCTGCAACCCTATATGCGACACTGACGCGGTGCGCTCCCATTTTTTCATTTTATCGATAACAATACACCGACGTCGGCCGAGTGGGTGAATGGGCTAGCCGCAAGTCTAATGTGCGAAAGGTTGTGAGTTCGATTTCCCGTGGAACCGAATTTTTCAACGGAAGGCTTCGGTGAGCGGGAGGTTGCTAATAGAGTAACCGCCTGTACCGGCATGGGTTTCCTGTGGTTTCCCATGCTACTCCTATGTTCTATAGGATGGCGAATGCGGTACAGTGTAGAATCCACAGCCGCATGCATACACTGAGAAAACGATTTTCTAATATCCGAATAGTATATTTCAGCACGTGTGGGGCAATTTCGTCTTTAACGTGTGTGGAGTTTACAGCATGAGCCGAAGGCGAGTGATGTAACCACACACGTTAAGGACGAAATTTCCCCACAAGTACTGAACAAAATTTTATGTCACGAAGCCTGAAACCGGCTGAATTAGACACGAGACGCGAAGCGTCGAGTGTGTAATCCAGCCGGTTTCAGGCATGAGTGGCATAAAGATATTTTCTTGAGACAAGTAAATTTTCTTCAATTGCTTAATTCTCTCAGGCATCTCGACTCACATGACCCGAGAAGGGCCTCATGCTTTAAAATATTCTTGTACTCAAGTATGATTTTGTCGCAAATGAACTTACTTAAATCACGTAGAAGAATCGTCAATCTTCTAGTCTGTATTGTTTTCATGATTTTTTCGTTATGCACTTCCAATATTGCAATATGTAAAATATTCACGACGTAATGCGGAACGATAGTGATGAATGATAATTTATTCGAGTTCCGTGAAGTGCACACATTCTGAGATTTAAGCCATTGAAAATAATTTACTTCTCTCAAGAAAATATGTTTCAGATATTAGAATTTTTTTCTCAGTGTAGGGTTGGATAGAGTGCCGAAATGAGACCCGAAAAGGGGACTCAGAAGGCCTTAAAAAAATCGATAATAATAATCATCAATTAGTTCCGAGAGATTATTATTCACTAACAAATCGTTAATCCTTCAATAATTGATTTGAATTAATACGCATAATTTAGTAGATTCTGAATTCTCAATTGATGGGATTTGAGGTTAGGGCAAACACAGATCGGTTCATCCCGTATAATCCCGTGCAGCCTTGTCCCAGCGACCGTGCTGTGCGCCTTTCTGAGGTACATCGCCGCGAGAGGCAATTATGTCGCGCGCCAACTTACGCCGCGACGTTTCTGTACAATGAAATTTCTACTAGGGTAACAAAAATCTCTTCTTCAACTAATAATCAATATCAATTTCTCAATGATCTCCACAACAACTAACCCCCCAGGCAATCATCAGGAGCCAAACCCAGCCAATCAAAACCCTCCGCCACCTACAACTTTATTTCCCCCAATAACCCAATAACTTATTCCCAAAAACCCCGTCAAAAGAGATAAAAACCGGACGCATTTCCTCCAGCATGAAATTCGCTCTCCCAGGGTGGGATCGTTAAGCCCGTATAGAGATAAATCACAGCCGAAGAGAATAGCGTACAGTACCCCTTCCCCCCGGAAGAGGTAAGACTCCTTTTCCCTCTCGCCCCTCTCAATTTTTTCTCTATTCCACATTTTTACCATTTTTGTCATTCTCTTCCATTTTCTCTCATTTCATTTCATTTTTTCAAGGCACTCCATTAAGTCTCACTCGGTGTACCACAAAATCCCGCATATCCGCATGTTCCAGGTGAAATAATAAGAGCGGATGTGACGTCACTTGATGGATAGAGAAGGTACGGAGAGGGGCGGCGAGGGGGAGGGGGAATGAGAATATTTCACTGGTTTTCCTCTCTGTGGGCGGTCGAGGTTACACGTGAGTATTTTCTGTTTACAATAGCCACTGTACACACTTTTGGAAGGCGATGGGGAGGGGGGAGTGGTGGAGGGCAATGGCTCACCTGCCCATTATTCTCACCACAATGTACTTCCTTTTGTCAAAACACTAGCCACCTCGGCCAAGCGGCAAGGGGAGAGGGCGGTATGCACAGAGAGGCGTCAGGGGGGACATCGCTCCTTTTCAACGTGATTATTATTTATTATTAAAATACACGAGAGTGCTGATGCTTTTCACACGTCCCCGTCACTTCCGAATTCCATTTCTCTGGACTTCTTTTTTCTTTTTGCTGGGTGTGGGGAATTCTCGGTGAGATTTTTGCACTGTGAAAAATCATTCTTAAATTTTCAAGTACAAAATCTTGAAATTTTGAACAATCACTCATTCACACGAAATTTTCATGTATTTTATTATGGAAAAATCTGTTGAATTCTGCAGTATTAAATGGAATTGCCATTTTCAGGTCCGCATGATAATGAAAATTATTAAATAATTTGAAAATTCTAGATGTCACTGAAGTGTCAGTGATAAACGAACCTGGACAACCCAATTATCCTGAATTTCCAATCTATGAATGAGAGATTCCATGAACGATTTAATCTTAAATTGAATTCAAGTTCACATCATTGACAATTTAAGGGCAACTGTTGCTTAATTTTCAAAAAATTTCTAGCAGTGCAGGTGTGTGTGCATGTAGAGATAACGATATTATGAAGTCTCGTCTGGCTCTCATGGGCAGTCCTAAATTTTCCTGATTTTTCAGTAGTAATACCACTAGTGCTTCAAAATTATCGGCCATTTTCCGAAGGCTTCGTCGCCTTGGAACGATTGTGTCAAATTTTGCAAAAAAAAATCGCACTCGAGATTTTAAACCTGCAAAATTTGACACGAAACAAAATTGGATATTTTTAATACACGAAATGATAAAATAAGTTGTAATTTTCAAATTCGTTGCGGAAATGGAACATTACAACTGAATTTTCAATGGATTGAAAATTCAGGGAAATTGTTGCTTGAATTTTCAAATTATTTAATAATTTTCATTATCATAAACAAATTACTCGAAATATATGCATCTATGATATAGAACTTAATTGCACGTCAATTGAATTTCCAGTTTTTTGTTCCTGATTATGATTGGGAAATCACGGTGACTTTTTCCTTGTTTTTGGGTTTCATTTATCTCCTTGCAATCGTTAGTTTAGCTTATTTTATCATTTCGTGTATTAAAAATATCCAATTTTCATTCAATTTTATTTTTAAAATATATTTGTGAATATAAAAAATCGAACTCGAGATTTTAAACCTGCAAAATTTGACACACTCGTTCCTAAGCAGGGAAGCTTGAGGAAACTATGCGATTAATTTTGAAGCACGAGTGGTATTTGACGGATTATTTTTCCACTCGGTTTTCGGCCAAGCAGAGTTCATCCGTATACATTTACACAGCCATACATTTACAACCCACTTTTTTGTTTATCTGTCACACAGAATATTAAATGTGAAATGCGTTGAAAGATGAGAAACATTTGAAAAGCTACTAGTGAATTTCCGTCGGAAATTTTTGAGAAATTGCCGGAATAAAACTGTTTGACAGCCTCAAATACTGCGCTCTGATTGGTCGAAATCCGAGTGAGAAAAATAATCATTAATATTCTCGGAATACCTAAACTGAAAAATACAGCTCTCGCGGATTTTTACATGAAATTATGAATTTTCAATTACAAAATTCCTTTAAAAAAATTCCTTCACAAATTTTCAGAAACTAAAGGGGTCTTCAATATTAAGATGCTTCAGTCAATTAAGACACGTTCGAATGTTTGAAAAATCAGGAGCGAAGTGGTCAAACTGTTATGGGATAATCAAATGTCGAATCAACAGGAGATATATGTAAATACGACGACAGATAAAATGACTCGCGAAATTATCGGTCAAATCTAGGGATTTGGGAAACACGAAATACAAACAAAAATCACCACCGGAATAATAAGGCACGAGTTAGATTCACAACTTGCCTCGCTCTCTGTTCTCTTCCGTCCGGCGCCGAGATAAGTACTTGATTTTTGTATGGATATCTATTTTTATTTTTGTCAATATTTTTCACTGTGAACTTAATTAATTTTCATTTGATAAGATCAAATATCAAAGCACAAGTACACGGATATTTAGAGAACGGAGCATTTGATTAATATTTATTACAAAAAATAAGACCTCGAGGCGTGTTTCGCGACATGTCAATTATTTTTGACTGTAGAGCAGATTTTTGACTTGCGATTTTCTGTGATCGATCATTCATTTCAAATAGGGGAGGGTGGGGCAAAACGGCCCCCCTTCAATTGTCAATAACTTGTGAATGACATTGTGAAAATTCCCAGTTTCAACTTCATTTTGAAGATAATTTTTCATTCTTCAAAACGAGCTCTAACTCATCCCAATCGGATTATTGAATCGGAAAATATTGACGATTGAAGGGGGACCGTTTTGCCCCATCCTCCCCTAGGTAGATTAGAATCGTGTGTATGTGAAGAATGGTGAGTGATCGCGGGCCTATGTGATAATATTATTTTATTTGACGACGCTTTACGTGATTATTATTATGAATTTGCAAGAATATATTGGGAAATCACGGTGACTTTTTCCTTGTTTTTGGGTGTTATTTATCACCTTGCAGTCGTTAATTTAGCTTATTTTATCATTTCGGGTATTAAAAATATCCAATTTTCAGTCAATTTTATTTTTAAAATATATTTGTGAATTACTTGTCATCGTAATTTGTGTAATTTATTTCACAAGCCTTGTTGAAGTTCTTACGGATCTTTTCGTATTTAGATGTATTATTTATATTCTCGTGATTTGATTAATTATTGATTTTCTTCGCATCCTTCGGTTTATCTCTTCGTATATTCCACGTTTCTATCTTCATTTATGGGATCAAACCCGAAATATTTAATACATAAATAAATTCAATAACATTACACGGTGTAAGTCAATTTAGTCTTTAGTTGAGTTTTCCAGTAATATTTTCGAATTTAAGAGAGATAGCGAAATTTTCATAATAACCATTTTTATAGAGCGAATTGAGTGCTACTAAAGAGGTTATGAGAAAAATTTGGTTGTCTCCCTTAGACTGCGAGATATTCATTGAGAACTGGCCAATAGCCAAAATATACTTAAACCGTTTGACCACTTCGCTACTGAAATGTCTGCAAAGCCTACACGTTCTGAAAGTGTTTGATAAGGTTCCACAAAAATATCTCAAACTCAGACACCAATTCTTGCAGAGAAGGGGTGGGTTCTGAATATTAATGCATTTTCACGATATTTTTTCTCGATATTTATTCTAATTTATTTTCTTTCCCTATTGATATTCTAATTTTAGAATTCAGTTCGATTTGTTTATCAATTTTTCCGTTTGTTTTCCAGGGGTTTTGGGGAAATAGTTGGCACTCGGGTATCTGGGGAATGGAGAGTGGTCTGTGTATGCAAGTATGTAACTACTCGCGAATGGAGGAAAACCAATAAATCCTATTTTCACATTTTGTCCCGAGTGGTAATTACCACTGTAAATGGACCGGGCGGCCATGGAATTCCCGGTTTTTGGAGATCTAATTTTTTTATTACATTCATCAACTCGGCGAAAATCAATTTTTTCAGTATTCACTAATTGATGGATTTTAATCATCAAAGGACAGAAATAATTAATGTAATTCACTGCGGTAGGTGATTAATTCTGCTTTTGAACAGAATCATTTTTGTAGACAAAAAAAATGCCACAGGTGAAAACTCTTATTTTTCAGGTACCACCCAGTGAATAGACATCGCAACTATTTTCATATTATTTTTTTTAACAAAGAAATATGATATTCTATGCACCGGCAATTCGGTTTTGCATCCGGGATATAGTCTGCTCTATGCACTTTTTAATTTACCAATTGTTTGCGGATTGTAAATAAGTAGGAACGGCTGGATGAACGTTCAAAGCGTTCACTGGGTGTGAATTATTTTCCAACGAGTTGAAAGGAATGAAAATCCTGATAAATATACAGTACTGACACGCTATGTCACTCCATTGGATTCTGATGAACAATAAAAATGAGGAACAATTATTTGTAGATATACCGAAAGCAAACGGGAGTTTTAATTAAAAATGTATTAATATTTTTTTATATCAATCTCACTGAAATGAATTAATGTAATTAAAAAAAATTTTAATTGGTGAAAATAAATTGAAAAAAACATGGAACGCCGAAGTTAAACCGTTATACGTATGTACTCATAAATTATTTTACTCTTAGGTTGCATTGAAACGATTCTTAATATAATATTTACATCATTTATTCTGTTTTTGAAAGTTTTGATAGTGAAGAACGATAGATACACTGAGAGAAAAATTGACATAATATGACAAAGATAATTTCTTAAGTGGAGAGCATTGCATGCATATTCGATCAATTCATGGCGGGTTTTAGACAAGAAATTGGTGCTCTTCGGGTAAACGGAAGACACAGAGAAAAAAATTCCAGAATTTTTCTGGAGAAATTCAGGCAAAAATTACCGTGTCGGCTGGGAAAGTGGGTTCAATTGTCTAGCACCAGAGAAATTCCGATGCTGCAGTAAAAATTCCGGTACCGCATAATAAAAGCTTGATCCCTGATTGTTTTCTTTTACACGATAAATTACATTCAATAGTTAAAAATGAGTAAACATTGTCATTCAGCATATCATCCTATTAATTTTATTTTAACCTCTCCTCCATATCCTCTCTCCCATATTAAAAGCGGAATGCGCGGCATACGTATGTGAAACGTTTGACAGGCCAATGTTTCTCTACAGCGTTATACACCTCTTGAAGAGAAAATAAAGGGCACTTATTTTATTTCTTAACCGTTTTATCACAACACCAATTAATATTTCACTGAATTGATATTATGAAAAATATTAACCTGGGGTTTCAGTAAGGAGATATGTGAGAGAGGAGGCTAGAGGAGGCGACGGAATAAATCATGTGGTCACGGTGAGCTGATGTTCGCGAGTGCGAAGGGGGGGGGGGGACGAAGAGTGCCGAAATCGTACGAATGCGCGATCGGGTTCTAGGATTCTGGTATAGAGCACCGCAAAAATTTGCCGGCCAGTAATTAGCAAGGCCAGTAATCAAATATCAAGGCCAGTAATTAAAATCATAATTTTTCTCGTATTTCTCGTAAAAATTCACTCTCTTCGATTTTACCATGCTGCACAAGAATTTTTCCTCGCATTTATCCGAAAAAATAACTCGTGCAACAGTACTTTTTCCTACTCTTTGCGGTACATTTTGCCTGGAAAGACCATCTGAACCCACTTTACTGTGCGAGCATGGTCATTTTTCTCGTACTTTTCTCTCCGTAGATGATATTGAATGAAAAAATTATATTTTTCAGAAAATTAGATACGTGAAGTGCCTAGATAAGGAGCTAGGAGTAGAGATGGGCGTTACCTCTCCATATATTGAAGTGGCCGATATTCCATATCGACAGAACGATATTTTTGATGACCAATATATCGATATTCGATGTTTTTCGTCAATATCGAAGTCTAAATTTGTGTCCAATTCTTTAGAATTTCGGAAAAGAATAAATGAAATGTTTCCAAGGAAAAGAAGAATATTGTTTTTAATACCGCATGATTTTATTCATTTCAAATTTCATTGAACCCCCTCCTCTCTCATCTGACCCATCGGACTCTCCCCCCCTCCCCCCCACTCATCGGCTCTTCTTTCTCATCTAATCCGCCGGATTTATCTTTCTCTTATCTGATCCATCAGATTCTCCTTTCTCATCTGACCCTCCGAATTCGCCTGCCTCACCCAACCCATCGACTGTCCTCTCTTTCATCTAACCTATCACCCAAAAAAAAGGTACTTCTCACCAGTACCGACCGGCACTTGGGTGAAGTTCACTTTTGAAAAGTTCTAAAAATAGTCGTCCCAAGTACATTTTGAGTCCTTGGGTGAAGTACTACATCTGCCGATCGAGTAGAAATGGTACTGGGAGGAAGTAGCTTCACTACTTTCTGTCAGTACTTTTAGTACTTTTCACAAGTACCAAAGGTACTAGTGAAAAGTCATTTTTCAAATTCTCTCAAGTACTTTTAGTATTTAATTTCAGTACTTCCAATTGATTACTTTATTACAAATATGCTCCCGAAGTTCCAAAACGGTGAACCACGTAGATTGTTGAGGAGAAAATATGAAAAATGTGTCATCGTCACAGTCTTATGGCACCAGGTTTTCAAAAATCATAAAAAAAATCGACAATCGAATAAAAATCCAAACGCTTTACAAATTCATTAGCCGTCATGATACGGAATATTCGTAATTATTCGCATAGTTTGGGATTTTAGTTACTTTAGAGAGAACTGATGGCTGAACATGGTAACGTTGAGGGAGGTTAGATCGCGCGCGGTGGAGGCCATCGTGTGAACTCTGCCGAAGCATATACTATAGATTCTATAGTACAGTATAGGGTTTTATCGCGCCACAAGAATACCAACTGCGTCGAACAAAAGTGCGGGGTTGTCAATCTCTCATGAAAATTTTGATTTGTTAAAAAATTCGGATAGATAATATTTCGGAATAAAGATTATTTGGCGTTGATTAATCATGAATAATAAGTGCAAAAACACCCAACACGACAAAATTTCAATACACCCGTGAACTTTTCATCGTTTCGTTTTTTTTTCAAAGGATGCAGCTGAGTGTCGGAACCTTTAATATTTTCCCCCACTCCATAGCCCCAAAATTTACTGCGGAAGTTCCGTAGTGATATTTCTGTGTCTAACATTGACCTACGCCTGTATCATTCCTGGATGGTATTTAATTATATATTTAATTTAATTATATCGAATAATTTCATTATGTGTTATAGGATATTTTACTATTTTAGTCATCTTTACTATTTTATTTTCTCCGTGTAATAGCAATGCTAAATCAGCAAAATAGCGGTGTCAAAAAACGTTAAAGGGGATTTTTTAAAAGGGGATTTATCTTTCATACTTGATAATTTATAATATATTATTCAAATGTCCTCATCCCAAAGTCCTCCAACAAAAATCCATTAAGTTTCACCCTTTCACACTGAAATTACAGATTCCCTTTAAAAAACCAATCCAATGATTGCATCACCACCCTAAACCCTAGTCACCCCATCCTTGAAAAATCCAAAGGGCAATCGCACCCCAAACAAATCCACGAAAACCAACAAAAAACTTCTAGACTCTCGTTTCGCCCTCTCGAAATCAATCGATTAGTTTGCCTTTGCAATGCGATACGGGCGGCAGTATTCGGGTAATGGGAGACCCCAGAAGTCTCGTTTTCGCGCCACTGAATCTCCCCATCTCTCCATTTATAAAGCTCACCCCCATTTGCTCTCTCTATTTCCTCTAAACTCATCAAGCGAAGAAGCGATCGAGGGAAAAGTTGAAATAAAATGAAAAAATAAAAGTCAATCAAGACTTTTAAACAATTTCTCGCCGCTCGACTGGGGGAGTTGCTATCGAGTGACCGTGGAAGACAATTAAGTCGACGATTTCAATTAACTCAGAACGCCGGAAGTCTCTTTCTCTCGCTCGGTTAATTGATTAGTCGCGGTTTACTCCCAGACATTTGTAAGTGAAGTAAAATCATTCCTCTTCAATCTCCAATATCTTCCAACCAAATTATACGATTTGAATAATTCAAATTTCATTTTGAAGATGAAAAAAATTATCTATACAATGAGGGGAAAATTTTCGTATTTCCTTCTATCGATTCCGAGATATTCGTAATTAAATACCGTACAGTTTCTTCATCCCAAATATATTATATGTAAGTGAAATTGATTTGTTTCAATCAGCCACGGAAAAAAATATCGAGTCGGGTATATAATATTCCGGAATCAGGAATATATATATTCTGGAGTGCGGGATCTTACATTGTGGAATCCGAAGTAATGTACCGGAATTCAGAATAGTATTCCGGAATCCGAAATATTTAATTCTCGATTCTGGAATCGAGAATTAAATAAGTATTAATACAAATATTAATATTCATCAAATATAATTTTTTTATCCTCAATTTCGGAATAATATTCCGGAATTCGGGATATTTTACTCTCGATTTCAAAATAATATCCCGGAATCCGGGATATTTCATTCTCAATTCCGGAATAATTAGTGATGCCGCGAGACACTTTATAAGACCGAACTTCGAAACTTCGAAAAGAGAATAGGTGTCGAATAGGTTTGTCTCATGATGTTTCAGGAAATGTCTCGCGGCATCACTAGGAATAATATTCCGGTATCCGGTATATACATATAGGGGAGGTTGGGGTAAAACGGACACTTTTGAGTTTTTTTCAAATGTTAATGAGGGGTTGAAATGTTGATGAAATTTAATATTTTTTTTCAATACAAAGAACAATTCTTTTCCTTTGTGACGAGCCTAAACTGAGCGCAATTGATAAATTTGTTTCTGAGTTACGAATAATTTAAAAAAGGTCTAAAGTGTCCATTTTACCCTACCCTCTCCTAATTTTCAAATGAATTCTCAGTCGATATTGAGATAAAGTCATTCTCTGGATGATAGTGTACATCCAATTAATGACTCGAAGAGAAGAGGAAAAAGGAAAGGAAACGAAAAAAGTGACACAATTATCCTGTGATGAAGTGTAAGTTTGGGGCCTCCCAAACCTCCACTTCGTGTAGTGAATCGGAGCAGTTTTCAGACTGAGAAGCTCAATGGCCTCCCAGCAACTTCAAACTGTTGAGGAAGTTGCTAGTAGCAATAATAATTCAAAAATCCCAAAATAATGACCCAAAATATGACCAATTGTCCCTTGAAACCCCCTAATAATTCGTAAAACCCTCAATTGCCCACCGAAAGGGCGAATGCGCAGAGAAAGAACTTATGAAAATACTTCCCTGAGTGCTCTTCGTGATTATCGCCCAATCTCACCAGTTTATAAACGTAACGTACAATATTTCAATGCGAGACTGTCCCCGGAATATTATTCTGAAATGCAGATTATAATATAGTGGCTTCAGGAATAAACATATTCCTAATTCCTGAATATTATATACCACATTCGAGGATAGTTTTTTCCATGTATCATTTCAAAACTTATAAAATTTTCTTAAAAATGGTGACTAATTCATTGAAATTCA